CAGCGGGGATGCAGGGAGAGGAGCTGACGGCAGGGGTGGAAAGGACACGCAGCCCACCCAGCCCAGGCCGGCACCTCCATTAAATAGGGCTGGGGACACAGGGCTGCTGTGGGGCTGGAGCTGAGCCCTGGGCCAGGGCACACAGCAAAGGCTGCAGCCAAGGCCCGAGCCCCAAGGTGCGACAGAGACCTGAGGCTTCCCCGGCTGCAGCAGCTCCTCTGTAGGGATCTGCTGGGCTCAGGACTCATCTCAGATCATCCCTGCTGGGCTTCTCATCCCTGCGCCAAGCTGAACCCAGGGAGCAGCAGCAGGAGGAGGAGAGAGCTCTCCCCATCACCTGGGGGCAGATGGGCTGCTAAGGAAGGTGGATCTGGGACTGCGATTTCCCCTTTAGGGGAATAAACCAGCACAACACACCCCAATCCCCCCCCAGTCTCAAAGGCTGGCACCCCAAAAGCACTGATTTAGCCATGAAGGCAAAGGAGCCGGGCTGCCGGCTGCTGCCCCAATTCCAGATGGATCCAAGAGCTGCAATACGCAGCACTAGGGAGCATGGAAGCCCAAGAGATCCCTCCTTCCCCTGCCCTCGGTGCCCCAGCACGACTAAAGGGCTTGCTTGTTCAGAAGCTGGCAAGGCCAATTAATCTAATGAGGTTTTGCAGCCAGGGACTATTGTCAGCCAAGAAAGGCAGAGCGCTGCAGAGCGAGCGCACGGGTGGCTCCTGGAAGCCAAGGGAATTTGGCAGAGCAGAGCTCTGCACAGGCAGGGATGAGGAGCAGCAGGGATGGAGCCTTTTGTTGCTCTGCACCAACTGGCAACGCAAACCCAAGCCCAGACGCGGCACCTGAACACAGGGCCCAGAGCCATCGCTGCTGCGGCTGGGGCCAGGCAGCCTCACTGCAAAGGGACCCCGGGAGGCTGAAAGGGAAGCAGGAAAGCAGCAAGAGCAGCTCCCTCCCACCCCAGCTGCAGTGGCTGGAGCCCAGGCTCATTCCTATGGCAGGGAGCACCCCCGGCAAACCAGGACCTCCTGCTTTGGCACTGCTGCCCACCACAGGCAGCACTAAGCACCCCCAGCCTAATCCTCAACCCACCTTGGCACGGTGCTGGAAGAGGCTCCAGCAGGGATGGTGCTTGCAGGACAGCTCTGGGACCCGATGGTGGACACAGGCTGGGTGCTTGATGGAACACTGATTGCAGCCGGGCTGCCCAAGTGATGCCACGGAGCTGCTGCGAGAGCTGGAGCAGCTCTGCCCTGGAGCCAGGCTGAGGGAGCTGGGCTGGGGCAGCCTGGAGAAGGCTCCTGAAGGGGAGACCTGAGAGCAGCTCCAGTGCCTGAAGGGGCTGCAGGAAAGCTGGAGAGGGGCTTGGGACAGGACCTGTCCAACCTGCTCTTGTGGAAGGTGTCCCTGGATGAGCTTTAAGGTCTCTTCCAACCCAAACCAGGCTGGGATTCTATGGAATTGCAGCAGCCCCTCAGTCCAGGATCTGACCCTATCCACATGTCCAAGAGCACAGCAGGGTCCTCACCGTGTGCCTGCAGTAACACACCAGGCACTGGCTGGATCGAAAGGATTTATCAAGTTTATAGTTTTTAAAAAAGGATCAAAAAATTATTAATTACTTTTTTTTTTTTTACATGTACATTACAAAAATCTGCAATCAGGAATCTTCATCCAGGGGTTTCTGAGCTGATTATGGACACCAAAGCAGCAGGAAAAGCCTGGCTTACCCAGCAACCGACAGGGAGAAGCACAGACAGCACAGGGGAAGTCAGGAGGCAGTGAGGATACAGATATGGACACAGGCTGGGCTCTGCTCCCGCAGCAGCTTTCAGCTGCATCTGTGCACATGAGGCAGCAGAGCCCAGGCATCAGTGTTTGTCTGCAGGGGTAGAAAAACCCAACAGCTCTGCTCAGGAGATTGGTTTCTCTGAGCAGATCTTAGGGTTGAAACTCCTCTGGTGCCATGTGAGGAACCCCCTGCACCCTGAGCGCATCCCTCACCGCATTCGACCCCCAGCCTGGCTGGGTCCTCCAAGGGCACTTCCCATCTCTTCTCCTGCCTTAGCTTCTGCTCAGCAATCAACCCCTAAGATACAAGTGGAATAATTAACTCTTATAAATATATTTATATCATGTAGGAAAATAAGGCACTTGAGGAGGGTTACAGCTCTATGTCTAAGTCTATAGCATTCTAACCGGGAAGGAAAAAGGGGTTAGTTTCTGAAATGAATTAAAATGAATGTTAATACAGGAATAAACACATCGGATCCACTTCCCACTTCAAGGCTGTTTCAAAAGCAAGAGGAGAAAGCACACCCTCCCCCCCCCCCCCCCCCCCCCCCCCCCCCCAAATCCAACAGGAATGAAAGCTGGCCTCTGCCCCCCACCGAGCCCTGCCAGGCAGCTCCCGTCAAGGACAGGTAATTCCCAAAGAGGCACCTTCAGTAAGTTCATGGATTGAATGATAATAGCGACCACCACGTCCCTTCCCTGAAACAACATTCCCCGGTTTCTGGGCCGTGTGAGACCTCCAGGAGCCCCTTTCCTGGCTCTGCTCTGGTGCTTGGAGCCTGATAAGGAGAGGAGAACGCAGTGAAGGTCACCGGCTGTGGAGGAGGCTCCAGGCTGAGCCCACGGAACTGGGATGAGGTTTTCCCTGGGAAGGGGGGTGGCGGGGGAAGAGGCTGCTGGGAGCAGCAGCCAAGCACTGCGGGCGAGGACACCGGGAGAATGTTTAACCAGGAGCATGGAGCCGGGAAGGGGAAGGCAGCAGCGGCCTGCCCCGACCTGCACACCCTGAGCAACCAGGATGGAGGGAACGGCTGCTCTGTCTGCATATCCGTGCGGATACAGGTCGGGATGACATGGGAACAGGGGTGTCCTCCCGGGGAGGCAGAGAGGAGGGAGGATCCCAATTGCCAGCTCTTGCTTTTGGCTTTGTGAAATGCTTGAGGCTTGCCTGCCACAGGGAAAGGAAGAAGGAAGTTCACATGGAATGACATGGATTGCAGGGGAGCCCAGCACAGCCCCTTGGTCAACATGGGGCAGCAGCCCTGCAGTTTCAGCACAGCTTCTGTGTCTTGCAAAGGTTGTTTTTGGCACCTCTCCTCTTCCCCTACCGCTTTCAGAACTATTCAGCTTACTTGGTGGCCCATTTTGCAATGCTCCTCAAAGGCAGCTGCTTTAAAGCAGTTGTTTCTCAGGGATCACCACACCAGGCTCCTTGTGCAATCAAAAGAGATTTAAAACCCAACAACCAGCCTTCCCTACCTGTCCACAAGCCAGCTGAGCTCCAGCAGGTCTGATTCTGCCAGTCTGAAAGCAGAGGGTGGTAACCAGCAGGCTTGCACGGACAAAGCAGTGTCCCTCCTGCTGCCAGGAGGGCCCTGCAAGCGAGAGAAGCAGGCAGAGAAGCCAACTCCCCGCTGGATCGCCCACACAGCAGCCTTGTGCAACAGGAATCGTGTCCCTACCACCCTGAGGCCCGGCCCTGCCTCACAGACCATCCATCTGGGGCATGGAGAGTACGGCACTTGCCTGGATTTCCCACGACAGGAATACTCACTCCCCCTATCTCCACAGGGATCGAGGCTCTAGTTAAGGCAATTTAAACTGAAGTCAGGTTTGGCATTGGCAAGTTCCTTGCTTCCCTGTGTGCTAATGCTGTCAGCCTGGGTTAGCTCAAAGGTCTGTTTTCCCCAGGAACCTGTCTCCAAGGGAAGCCAGAGGAGGATGCTTATGGAAAGAGCAGGAAAACAAGAGGCAGCGGTTCTCCTCTCACCCCCCCTCACCCAGCTTGCAGCAATCAGCACTTTGCATTGCCAAGTCTCTCTCACCAGCACCCGAGGGGTTTGTTCTCTCTTCCAGAACCTGGAACTGGTGCTGCTCACATGTTCCCAGCCCATGGGGATGCCTCGGAGTCTACGCCCTTCGCATCCTGCCTGGCTTGACAGGCACAAGCTCCTGCTTTAGCAGTCCTGTAAATCTCTCAGGGTCACACTGGATCTCAGCTTGATCCACACCCCAGAAAAGCCCATCCCCTGCTCTGGCAAAGACATGCACACAAGGCATCAGTAAGAACACAATGGCACGAACTGAAGGCATCAATCAAAGCCCAAGAAGGATTTGCAGCAAGCTGGCAGCCTCCAGCTGGGCCTGGCATTCCAGGTATGAGCAACACCATTAAACCAGAGGAGAAGGAACAGGCACAGGCTGGCAAAATACTTGACAGTAGGAAAGGCAACGAGGTTGGAGGAACATGCAGCTGGTCCCACCCCGCCACAGCTGGACCCGTGATCTTCAAAAGGCTTTGGAATTGCTTTCTGGCATGAACTCGACTGAAGGAGTCATGTTCAGATTACAATACACATCTGTGGCATCAGGGGTATTTGTTTCTACATTTCCAAGATAGGCTTATATGCTATGGAAGGGAATATAAACCAGGAACAAAACCTAGGTCAAGTCCACCATTTTCTCCCCTTGCCAGTCCTGGATCCATAGCGAGCAGCCTGGGAATCCACAGGGTTAGTGAGGAGGAGAAATGTCTTCTTAAAATTAACTAACGAATTAGAATCACAAAATTAAAGGAAATGAAGTGGGTTAGGTCTGATGGGCAACTTAATTCCCACACAAGATGTTTTTAGGCACAGAAATCCCCCTCCTTTAGAGTAAGGGAAGAGGAAGCCAAGGGAATACGAGCGTTTTCTGCTCCTCAAGTCCCTGTGTACATGGTCACCCCATTAGGAAGCACCTCTCCAAACTGCCTGCAGCATTGCCAAAGATGGTCCAAGTGTCTGCTGCTCAGAGAACTCCTCCCCACACCATTACCCTGCTCAAGGCACCTTTTTAAACACTCAGCGTGAACTGGAGGCATCAACAGAGCAGTTTCACCACAGATGTGTCCCAGAGGGACAGTGGCTCTGCTCTCCCACAAGCCCCAGCTTTGCATCCCTTTGGGCAAGTCTCCTTTGGCCAAGCAGGCTAGGAGGCTGGAGGAAGGTAAAGGCAGCTTTTACCATTAAAGAACTCCCTCCTCACATTGCACCCTAAGCGTTCCACAGCCCTGGAGCGAGGAAGCACACCCCAAGCAGGGCAGTCTGGAATTAACACTAGGGGGTCAGAGGGGAAAGAATTGTGCGCTATTGCCAAAACCTGATGATTTGACAGTGGGATGCAGCAGAGAACTGACATTTCAAGCCCATTTTCTTGCAGCACTACCAGTGTTCACTGGAAAGGGAGAACCATCAGATCTGCTGTTGCCATGAGAAAACTAGCTGAAAATGTCCTTCATCTGAAAGGCCATCCGGCCGCACCAGGATCATCCATCTTTACTTTCAAAATCCCTCCGGATGGAGGGTTTAGATGTGCTCTGCCTGGTGGTATCGAGAAGCTGGAGGTTTAGCTCTCTTTTAAATAAGCAACCGTTACACCCCCTCCAGCTAAATCCCAACACCACCCTGGCAGTGTCCATGAGGAGACCTTTGGAAAAGGCAGAGCACAAAGCACTGCCAAAGCTGGAGGGGGGAGGGAGAGGGGAGATATGCTGCTGGTTCTCAAAACCCTTGGCACATCTTTGGTTACAGGTTGAAAAGGGAAGTGGTGGAAGGTTTGGCCACCTGATTCTTTAAGAAGAGGTTAACTCAGGAGAGAAGGGGAAGGAGGGGAGTGGGCTGTGGTTAATCCGACCATTCGTCCTCATCGAACTCGGAAGAGTCGTCCTCAGAGTCGCTGTACTCCACAGCGATGCGGCGCGACAGGATCGTGGCCACATCATTGCCCACAACGTCCCGTTTCTCCTGCTCCCGCTGCTCCTCCACCTTGCGAAGCTGGAAGCCTGTTGGGAAAGAAGGCAACGGAGGGGATCATGCAAAGGCTTTGGTCACACAGAGATCTCCAAAGCAGCCATCCCTGTGACACAATCCTCTGGGCAAGGCAGCCTGTCTTGGACACGCTCTGGGATAACACTGATGGTTAACGACAGGCAAGACAGGCTGGGTGGGCAGGTGGGAATCGTTTCCATGCTCCTCTGGGGGGTTATCACCACTAACCCACTCACAAAACCAGACCACACCAATCCCAGCACTGCTGTCTCCAAAGGTGCAGGTGGAGTTGTGAAACCTAGTGAGGTGGTCAGACAAGGAGGGACCACAAGGGACAGGTCTCGAGCAGTGAGGCACTCACACCACTGCTCAGGGGATGGCTCCCAGGGGCTCTTCACATGGGTATGTGAGGTTTTCCAGAGGCAAAGGAGAGAGCACTGAAACAAAACCTTACCCTGGCGAATAGCTGAAAGCAGATCACTCCTGGCATCGCTAACCGCAGGCAAGGATGACTTGGGCTTGGAGGTGGAGGTGTCTGAGGGCGGAGGGGGAGGTGGGGGGCCATCCAGGCCACCAGAAGACAGAGGGGGTGGGCCAGGAGGCGGTGGTGGTGGAGGGGGAGGTGGCGCACTCCCACTGCCCGCCTGCGGCAGCGGAGGCGGGAGCACGCTGGCATACTCGACTGCTGGAGGGGGAGATGGTGGTGGCGGGGCAGCAAACTCGGGGTGAGGAGGGAAAGAAGGGGGTGAGGGGGGTGGTGGTGTTCCCGGTGACGGGAACCCCATGGGAGGTGGTGGAGGGGGCGCGCTGCCCATCAGTGGTGGTGGCGGCGGTGGCGCCGGAGGGGGAGCAAAGCCCGGCCTGCTGGTTGAGGGGGATCCAATGGGAGGAGCTGGTGGTGGGTGACTGGGGCTGACCAGGCTGGATCGTTTGGTCCCTCCAGAACCAGAACCTCTTTGGTTGTCTATAGGATAGCTGTTGGAGCAGAGAGAAAGAAGGCTATTAGTTACAAAGACTGTACAATGTCAATGCTAATGCAAATCATGTGTTTGTTGCAGTGCAGACAGAAATATCCAAGTTCCAGCTTTAAGTGGTGTTTCCAGGAGCCCTCACTCCTTGGTTTTAATTCCCTTGCAGTGTTTCTCTTGGCCTACACCACCAGAACAAAGGAAGGCTTCTGCGGACTGGCAGGAATGCTATCACCCATCCCATCTCTCATGCTGGCAAGAACATGAGCCATCCCACCTCCATGCCAAAGGCCAGGCATCAGGGCTGAGCTCAGAGCAGCCTCCTGGCTTAAGAGCTCCTGTAGCAATGCAAGACACTACCCCTTGAAGCTGAGGTCAGCCTCCTGACACCCCGAGCAGGGATGTCTACCATGATAAATCATACAAAATATCCTGATGGGAATGCCAGGCACCTGCTGGGAACAGATCTCCACACCGGATTCCATGGCTCAGAGCTCGAGTGCAGCAGCCATGACTCCGAGCTTGCTGTGGGGAGTGAAGATGTGGTTACCCAACATGCTCTTAAAAGATGCAGGAGTGCCTAAATCTCCCATTTAGGGAAGTACCAAAGAACACTACTGCCCATAAGACACTAATATCCCATGGATGTGTAAAGGAAGTCCTAAACTGACATCTCCTTCCGCAGTAAGACAGTAACAGTGCTGATCTGAGACAGACTACTGGGGATCAAACCTCACTCCTGGAGTTCTTTATAAACAAGCACCAAAACAAAGCCAGGGAAGGGAGAGTTCTGTGGCTAGGCAGAGATCTAAGCAACTGCATAAGGCAGCATCTGAAAGCTTGTTTCTGCTCTGCCCTAGAGGAACACGCTGCTTGGTCTCTCTGACACATCAGAAGAGCCTTTTCTGCAGCACTGCTGCCTTTGGATAAGATGGAGACAAGCTAAAACAGTCCTGTCTACCTGACATAGCCCCTCCTGCTACTCTTGACTGTTTTACTGCCTTAGATTTATTCTTGTTCCACCCTTTGTGTCCTGAGCCACTGCTGGACCACAATTCCCCTCTCTAGAGGTGACTGGAAGTCACCATTTCATCTGACACAAAGCAGCTGCCCTGAACTTGCACCAAAGTCTCTGGGAAGAAGTCAGCTGTGTGCTCGGGTCTGTTACATTTAACTACATCTACATCTTCAGTGCCCACGTCAAAGATCACAGGGCAAACAGTAACAAAACACAGAGATGAAAGGAGGCTTATTTGCAAAGCTCTATCAGGAACTACAGGGTCTGGAACAACTGCACTTGAAAACCAACACAATGGAGCCAGATTGACTGGGACCCTGGTCTTACGGAACGTGAAGTAAGTCTGCTCTAGCTCTGCCCAAGCACATTCCCCCCTTCTCTATGGGAACAAGAAGAGTGGTTGGGATTTATGGGTGTGCTGCCTGTGCCTCTGTCCCTGCCTGCAGTTGCACATCCCCTCAGACAGGAGCATTCTGATTCCCATACAACACCCGTCAGGAAGTTATGCTGAACTATCTCAGCCTGTCTCATGTCATCCTTTTACACCACCTACTACTCCTCGGTGACAGAAGGGATCCCGTAGGCTTACCTAAATTCCACCGGGGGTGGAGGCAGGCTGTCATCTGGGAATGAAGGAGGTGGTGGCACAATAGAGTCAGTCTGCGGCGGTGGCGGGTAGCAGTTCACGTCCATGCTTTCGTTGGAACCGATGCTGCCGTTCTGATACACCATGTTAGAGGGGTACCTGGGTGGAAGCAAGACAAGCAAATGTGTTGGAAGAGTTCAAGGCAATGTCTAAAGCTCGTTTTCCCCCTCACTAACAAGAGGTTTGCCTCCTGGAAGGGTTACAACAACCAACCATGCAGCAGTTCAGCCACCAAAGAGCAGTGATATTAACCACACGGATGGCTCAACCTTCAAGATGTACAAATGAGCTTTTCCAGCAGGAATAGCTTTTTCCACCACAGTGGGACCTGCCTTTAGGTGGGACCTTAACAACCACCACAACAGGACACACAACACAAATCCTTAAAGAAACATAAGGGAAAAAAGCCTCTGTTTCTCAAAGCATCCTACGTGATGAACTATGCAGAGCTGCATTGGTTTGCTCTGCATAATTCTTTGGCTAGAGCTTGCACAGATGCTCTTCTGTTTGTTTGTTGCTACCACACAGCACAACAGCATGAGGATACAGTTCAGAGAGCAAGAAAACACTGAAATAAAAGCCATTTCTATTAACATTCTTAACAACCTGGACTTGAAGGACTCCCAGTGACACTGGGCATCCTTAGCGTCAAAAAGAGATACTCAAAGATGCTACACAAGTAAGCTGGAGAATAGAATATCAACAAGAAGCCAAGAAACAGCAATGCCATTAAAAGCAAGGATCCAAAGCTCTTCCTTTGGTTTCAGATGACTCTCCTGCTCAGCTTTCTCTGAGCTCATTTCACTGTGGGGGGGTGAAACCACCCCGTTTCCTGGGGTTCTGGACCTCAAGCAAATTCAAAGGCACAAACATGCTTCCATGTGAAAAGAGGAGCAAGGAAATGGAGCTGTTGTGCTGCTCCATTCCTCTGCTAGAAACCAAACCTGTTCTCCTATTAAACTAAAAGCAAGTTTTATTTTTAGCTGGAAGAGTGTGATTTAAAGAGAGATTTTTCTCTTCTATGAAAGGAAGCTGCAAGGAGCGAGCAAGTGAGCAGTGCATTGTGGGGAATTCGGTCTGCTTCCAGCCTTGCTGGTGTCAAAAGTTAAATGAATTCCCAAGCCAGAAGTGCTAAAGAGAGATCTGGAGCTTGAAATACTTGGATGGGGACAGCCCCCGCTCCAAGTTGAGGGTGTGAAGAGCCATTTGGGAAATGTAACAAAGCAATCACACAATGCCACCATGATGCCACCCTGCTCCCAGCGTAAGGCCCGGGGCACGGCGATGGGGTAGGGAGCCAAAGCTCTCAACACTTCTGTGCCCACAAGACAGGCAGCTGAGAGCAGACTTGCTACCAAAGCTGTTCCTGCCACCTTGTTCAAACCCTGCAGCTCCCTGATTTATTTAGCAAATCTTAAAATTAGCAGCCACATTTACTTTGGAGAATGTGATTAGTGGCAGTATCGATCCGCAACGCACAGCCGATCTGGAGGAGCTGCAGAGCAGGGTGTACTGCATCACAATCAACCTCAGCAGGGAGCTGAACCAGAGAGCCCCACACTTGCTTACCCAGCAGGACCATGTTTGTCCTTTGACTCAACAAATTCTTGTCCCATTTTCAGCTTCTCCCACTCTTCTTTCCGGGTTTTGATTTTTCGTGGATTCACATTCCCTCGATTCGGATTCTCCTTTTTCTCTTTCTAAGGCAGAAGGAAGCAAACAGAAGCTTAGGAAGAGGGAAGGATACAACAAACCTGCAGCAGTTTCAAGAAGAGAATATGCTCAAAGAGGGATGGGATCTTTAATTTACTTTCCCCATCGCTGCAAGCTCCAAAGATCTCCCACACACAGAGGCTGGAGCGTAAAATGAGATAGACAACAGCAGATTTCCCCAATGCAGCCTGGCCATGATGCCATCGTTATTCCCTGGCACCACCACCTCGAGGACAGAGGGAAAGCTCAGTTTCCCACAGCAATTCAGTTTCTGGCCTCTGGGTCAAGCCTGCCGAATCTCACCATCACCCTGGTGGTGTTAAGTGCTTTGGGATGCAATACGGACACTTGCCCACAAAGAAGTGGGCTTCAGCAAGCCTTACTCTGCGTGTTCTACCATGTCCTACACCTTTCCTTTGTTATTCCCATTGAAAAATCATCTGTTTTGATATTTAAGACTCCAGTTGCTCAAAAGCTACATAAAGTATGCTCAAACTGGTTCTTTTATGGTCTTTCAGTGCTGGTAAAACATGGGTTCAAATCCCCAGGCAAGCCAACCAGAAGCTTCTACCTGGCATTTGCAGCTGAAGTGGTTTTGTTAAGCCTCCCACTTACCCCCATTTAATATCAGGGTCTGGTTTTGTGCTCCTGAAGGGACATTCTCTTCTTTCTTTATTCTTTCACAGCAGAATGTATCACAACACTCAGCACACTGCAGTGCTGGGGCAGTGGGATTTGCAAAGCTTCACCACTGGACAGACCCCCTCTGCAACATGGGAAGTGTTGGAGGACTACAGATTAAGCCCTTATAACCATACAAAGACAGTGGCATTTGGAAAACCAAATGAAGGGTATCTGTGTTCTTTAAAGCAAACCAGATAAGCTCAATTCACAGAAGTCTTTAAGAGAGCAAACCTGACTTTTGGATAGCAACTTTGAAGTCCAAGCTGTATTAACACTTCCCACCTCCTGTTCCTCCCTGACACACCTCTGTTGGCAGAGATCTCCCATTTCCTCACCCTATGTTTCCGCTTCTCTTTCATAATATCCTTTGTGTCCTGGAGCATTTTCTCTTTCCAAAGGTCAAAGAAATAGGAAGGATCCGTGTAGAATTTAAGTGCCTCCTTGCCATCGTCCCTAGAACAGGCAGGGGGGGAAAAACCAGCACACACAAATAAGGACCAAGTCACACATTTGTTTGAAGCCCAGAGAAAACACAAGGCACAAGCCCAGAGGACAGTTTAGAAGGTCAAACATCCTGCTCTCACCTCCACCCCCCATCTCAGACCCACAGCCTTCCTTGTCCTGGCTCTCCCCCTTGCTTTTACCCTCACACCATACCTCCATTATGCAGCACCTGAAGAGCTCAACTGCTCTGAACAATCACCAAGAGAGCAGCAGGTCTCTCACTTCAACTCCCAGCTGTTTGTGTTGTATTTCTGATGTGGAAAAACAACCAACCAACCCTTCTCCAGCTCAGGAACCCTAAATCAGACCAGCAGCGTCCTTGAAGCTCAGGAGTGAGCACACACACACACTCTCCTCCTCCTCTGCAGTGCAGCCATGTCTGGCAGAAGACAGCTGCCTCCAGCTATCTGTAATTACTTTTTACCTGCTCCAAAGATATTTATGGATGTGGGCTAAGCCTCTGGATTCTGACCCCCTTTCCTTCTACCACCTACAAGATGAAATCAGAGGGAGAGTGCTCAAGAGAACTGGTTCCGCAGCTGGTGTAGGTCACATTCCATGTATCAGACCAGGCACAGAAAGCATCTCCAGATCTATAGGAGTCTGCTGCACCCACCTGGGTGAGAGCCATTTACAGATGTATGCTCTGCAGTTTGCACTGCAGCTTTCTGGAAAGGAGCCACAGGGCTATGGAGAAGCACAAGGAAAATGCATCATCTGCACAACACCTAGCATGTTTCTGCAGTGCCAGCCAAGCCTTGCCCCAAGGCAGTCACAAATGTGACAGCAGGTAACCAAATCTCTCATTTTCTAGCTATGCTCATTTGTACAGCCCCAAAAGCAAAGTTTCACATAATCCAGAGAATGGGATTTCCTGATGGATCTCAGTTAAGCAACTCAATTTCCCATTGGAAACAGTTACTTCAGGACAGAACAGGACGGGAAATGGCCTCCTTGACAGACTGGGAGGCAAAGCTCATTCTCTGCAAGGGAACGAAGAGCTAAGGAGTGTTGCAACCATACCTGTAAGGTGAGAGGATGTTGAGAGGTGGAGGAGTATTGCAGGTCCTATAGGTTTCAAGGACAGGCACAGGGAGAGAATCCCTGTCAAAGAGCTTCTGGTCCTGAGTAGTGGAGCTTTTGAAGGCCTTCCTGGTGTTAATGCCTTGCAGGGAGACTGCAAGAAAGAGAAGAGAGCAAGTGAAGAATAGCTTGACCCAAGCCAGTGACACTGCAGACCATGTTCACTGCAGCAGTGAACATCTGATTTCAGCTGGAGTTCTTGGCATGCTTTGCACTCCTTAAGGTCAGGTTCCTTTTCCCATAGATCCCTTGGGAAACCCAGCAAATCTCAGACGATGCTGTGCCAAGATCCGCTACTTGAGCTGTATGGACACAGCTCTCTTGGGAGCTGCTGCTGTGGTTTTGAACCCCCACGACCAAGACTCAAGCACCACGCTGCTATCACGTTGCTGAAAAGCGAGTTTCCACATGGACACTTGCTAAAGAGCAAATCCAGGCTGGGCCACAAAGGCTGTCCACACCAGCAGCACTGTAGTTGTTCAGGAAGGGAGGGAAGAGTCTTGAGTCCAAAAGAAGACATCCCACCACCCATCACAGCATCATTTTATGGCTGTGAAACAACCATGCTGATTCAAGGAGAACCTTTATCACGCTTGGTCTGCAAGGACCGTGCTCCACTCTATTACCTTCCTCCTCTTTGGGATCCAGCTGAGTGACTTTGACTTGCAAGCGGTCAACTCTCTCAACTAGAATGCTCACCCGAGAGGCAAAGGTGTTGGCTTGAGTAAACAACTCTCCAAATATGTCTTCTGCAAATTTACCTGGAAGAGCAAAGTGTCCACATTACAAAGCGTCCTCAGGAGCCACATCAGACCATATTCAGTCTCCCAGCTTGTTTTCTTGAAGCAAGAACAAACCAACCATGCTTCTGTTCAAGTTTGTCAAGAGTTGAGCTCAACATAGAATCACAGACTGGTTTGGGCTGGAAAGGACCTTAAGATCACCCAGTTCCAACCCCCCTGCCATGGGCAGGGACACCTCACACTAAACCAGGTCACCCAAGACTCCATCCAACCTGGCTTTGAACATTGCCAGGGGTGGAGCATTCACAACTTCCTTGGCCAACCCATTCCAGCGCCTCACCACCCTTACAGTAAAGAACTTCTTCCTTATATCTAACCTAAACTTCCCCTGTTTCAGTTTGAACCCATAACATCCAGGCAGAAAACTCCCTGTTCTACCAAAACCTGACATTTCCAAGGGACCTTCAAGCAATAAAGAAACAATCCAAGACATACTTCCAAGTCATTATTAAAGTAATTGAATAAAGAGGGCTGAAACTGGATGAGTCTTGTAGCTCCTTTAAGATTCTCTGCTCTTCTGTTTATTAGACAAGCCAATGCAGTTGGATTTGTATTGCTCTGGAGAAGCTCAAAGGCTCCCTGTCTCCAGCAGGCCTGCCTCCAGGGTAACTGCCACTATTTACAAGCTCAACGAGAGAGCAGCCCCAGACCTCGAGCCTCAAGGCTGAGCTCTAACCACAGCCGACAGCACTGACCCTTTTGTTCCTTCAGGTGGCAGTGTCTGAAAAATTGATGCATTCACGTTTCTTCTCCATCAAACCCAAAGGGGAACTTCTCAAAGAGGGATATTCTCTCTGTAACAGCTTGGCTTGCTCAGTGGGCTGCTCTGACAAACATCATCCATCGCTTGGGCTGTGAGAGTGCCCAGGGGCTTGGAGCAGGAGCTTGCTGAATCACTTAGAAGCACAACAAAAAGCTATGCCCTGTCCTTAAGAGCTTCAAATCTACGTGTGCATCAAGAGGTGACCACAGGTAGACAGAAACGAGAGAAGTGGAAGAAAACCAAGAGCTTCCAATGAGTAGTGTCTTTGTTCTGCTCTCAGGCACAATCCAAGCCAGGGAGCCCAAACCACAGCGAGGACAATGCTGATCAGCAGAGACTTGGCACTGAGAGCAGACATAGGCCCATGGAGTTCCCACTGATGGGAAACATTCCCAGCCACGGCTGGTGAGTACAAGGCTGCTCCCAATAAGCAGTCTGATTTTGAAGTGCATCATCATATGGTCAACAGTTTGTTCTGGAATCTGTTACTCTGAAAGATCCTCACCAACATTCAGGAAAGGATAACCAGTTGGAAGCCTGACTTGAACAGCAATTTGGGAAAAGCTGGTTGTCTGCAATGAGTCACTTCAGAGAGACAAGAGCCCGTTCCCCAAAGCAACGTGAGGACATCCCCCAAAACCCAGCTGTACAAATACTTTCAGCTCTCTGAAGTGACATATCAGCTACTTGTTCATACTCCCATGCAGTTCTCCTTACGCTGCCAAGCATGGGGAAGCAGCCAGGTTAAAAATCAACCTCCTCCACACCTTTTGGTGGCAACGCCAGCTTGAAGTGTTTGTAGAAAGCAAAGGCTGGAGGTTCACTGGACAATAATACAGTGGGAAGCTTTGGACAATACAGACACCATGTACATCTCTCTAACCAAAGAGAGCCAATGTTTAGCTACGGGCTAATTTGCTACCTCCCAGCAACAGCACAGCAAAAGAACAGTTGTAATTTGGTTTCTGCTTTAATGAGAACTGAAACTCGGTGTTGAGTCTCACAAGGAACTGCAACAAGCACAAGGGGAAAAAAGAGTCTTTGGTTTGCAATGCCAAGTGGTCTGTTTCAACAGGAAATAATACATAAAGAGCATTGTATGTACTGGTCTTAACCCTGGAGGGAGAAGGGATGGTCTGTAATCCTGCCCTGCGTAAGTTCACCTGAACGGTTACCATCCAGCACCCCAAACATGGACACTTGTGAATGGGGTAAGGCAGGGATTGATTCTTTGGTTTAATTCCTTTGACTGCAGAAGTGCAGCTTACAGTCCAAATTCTCTCTGTCATGCACTGGCAGGAAGACAGACGGCATGATTTAATAGGGCTTTCCATCTTTAGCTTGTGGATTCTATAACATCACACCAAGGTGCACAGCCGACTTCGACAAAGTGCTACCAGCTGTGATAGTAACGAAGGGTAAACTCACTGGAATATGAAAGTTTGACAAGATTTATGTTTGCATCTTTGTAAAGAGACTCTGCTGCACTAGGCATGGCTGATTATTCACTTGACAGGCCTGTCACAGCCTACTGAACCTGTGCTCCGTTCCTGCAATATTCAACATATAGGGAGGGAGTGGATTTAGGTTTTGAAGTAAGAGAGAGAAAAGGAGGAGGGAGCAGGAGTCTGGCTATTTAGATGTGAATTTTCTGGAGCAGTTAAGTCTAAATAGTGCTTCATTTACAATCCTGCTGACCTTAAGGAAGCAGCTAAGAGGTGGTGCTCAGCACTTCCTGCCCACCTTACACAGTGTCAGCAAGAGCCACCCCTCCAGGGCTCTCCTCCACGTACCTCTGATGGGTCCAGCACCACGCACCTCACTCCCCACATCACCCAGGAAGGCACTTGCCCAATAAACCAGGCTGGAATTTGGCTCCCAGCACTTCACCCACTCTCTGACAAGGCAGAAGAGGAGCAGCTTTGAGCTGCGCAAAGGTATAAACCTAGAGGACCTCACCACAGCTCTGTCACGCTTAACCCACTGCAGGCCTTTGGACTGGGACCAGCTTCTCTGCAGCTGAGCTTTGCACAGCTTTACTGCCTTCCTCCACTCCATTTCAAAGGTATGAGATGGGTTTTACTTGCCCTCCGCAACCATCTTGGCTACCAGACCTAACAATGAGCAACAAGAGCCAATTGAATGTGAGCAGAGAGACTGGTCTTGCCTGTGCAGTGACATTTCTAGAACCCAACGGGATGTGACACCGACTGGCAGCAAACACAGGCCCAGAGGTCAGTGACAGCCATGGTTTCCACTGCTGCGAAGAGCCTGCACCCACACTTTCCCTGTCACATTCATGCATGGCACAAGGAGCTTGCTTTGCAGAGCAAGCAGAAGCATTTGCAACCACCACAGAGAAGCCAAGCAATACATTCATTTGATTATCAAAAGTCTTGCTTCAAGGGCAAAGGTGGCTCATCAGATTCCAGAGCATTCCACAGAGGAAGGAGTCATCCCCCAGGGACCATAATTAACTCTTAAGTTTCTCCTACTGCATGGAAGCCCGTGTTTTCCCTCTGGCCTTCACAACGCATCGGTCAGCCCACTGCAGAGCTGAGCCAGGCACTGCTGCCATCTGAGTGAGCAGCCCCAAACCCCCCAGAGGCAATACTTGGCTCAGGGTGGGGACTTCGGGTCTTGCAAGGCAAGCACCAGCAGGGGCAAAGAGGCAGCTTCATTAAGAGTAAGACTACTGACACAGTGTACATCCAACACAGTCAAGCTCCATTTAGTAGCGTGTGCAATTACAGGCACATTCTCTGACACAAGATCCTGGCTGCTAGGAGAGCCTCCCATTTTACAAGCCTGAGTTGTGCTCCAGCCTTCCATCTGCAGTTTCCCTGCAACCTCTCACACACACACCCATATATCCACACCCCCCCTCCCCATTTTCTCTTAGCTAGGAAGGCAGTGGGACCGGGGATATGAAATTAGCATCAGATTCCTTTCGGAAAACATTTTAGCATTACCCAGGGAAGGCAGATGGGGGAGAAATAGGAACGCTGGAGTAGAAAGGGAGCTAAATAAAGAGCACGAGCGACTCCTGAGGGCACCGCGCAGGCTCGCCGGGGTACTCACTCAGGCTGCCCAGCTGTCGAATGACATTTGCCAGGGTGATGTTGGTCATGCATTCCAGCTCGCTTCGAACGCTAGGCAACGTCTGACGGCACAGGTGCCTTGGCTCAATGTTCCTCGTTACTAACGGCATGGTGGACCTGCTTCAGGCACTGTTCTGCAAGATGAAAAACAACCCAAAAAAGAAACAGGAAAGGATTACTCAACCACAAATTCCAGGCACACCAGAGCCGTGGTGTTCGGTTTGCCTGCTCTCAAATGGCTTTATTTATAAGCCTTCTTTCCCCCCTAACCCCCGTCTAAAACTAGTTGATCAGAAATGAAAGATCCTGCTGTTCTATGAGTTGCAGCGAGAGCAGAGCCTCAGCAGCTCAGGTGGAGAGGCAGGAACGGATCACTACACATCTTCACCCCTATGCAGGGTGCTGCTGGCACCACCACCACAGCCGTTGTTCCCTTCCTCCCCAGCCGCTGAGCCATCTCCTGCCTCATGCACGAGTGTCTCACAAGCACAACTCTCTTCAACCTGCAATCGATAGGGTTGTTTAACCCAGAGGAAGGAGACTGGAGATGTTAGGGGGAAAAGAAGAGCACCCAGTGTCTTCTAGCTGAGCAAAGCATGCGTGGTGCCTCCCTCCTGCAGCAGCACAGGCAGGGCTCTTCTGAAACAACAGGAAGCGCTTGCAGCTGACCAGGAAACTTTCCTTATCCTGCAGGCTGCTCCCCCTCTTCCCTTGGGAAATCCCCCGGGGCTGAGGTTTACACTGGACCATTGTTTTCCTGCTGCAGCAGATGAGGGAGCTCTCATCAGGATGCAGGGCTAAAGGGAGCTCACAGAGAAGTCAAGATGGATTGGACAAGAGGCAGGACAAAGTTCCAGCTCTTTAAAACAAATATCAAATAAAGCAGAAAGCCCAAGTGTCCGGAAGGCAGAAAATGCTTTTATGTGCAGGAACTAACAAGAATCTCCTTTACTAACAGGCTGAAACATTGAAGTTTCTTCTGGGATCATCCACCTCTGAAAGAGAGGAGGAAACTTGGCTGAGCAGCTCCAACAAGGAGCATGATGCACTCCTGCAATCCTGGAGTGAAAGCAACTCCATCCCAAGCTCTTCACTAACTGAGAAGGTGAAAGAATCTCTTTTCTAGGTCAGAGGAGGAAGAAGAACCCCAGCGAAGCAAGCAGTGCCCATGTGATGGGCATGCTGGGGCTGGGGGTATAAATAAAGCAGGAAGCGAAGAGCTTGGGGAACACGATTTCCTGTCACCAGCAGCAAAAACCCAAGGACCAGGAAAAATCAGCTGGCTGCTCTTGACTTTGAGCCACCCTTTGATAGGCTCGGTGGCAGCTGGCAGCTTATCTTTGAGGTCCAGGAGGCCTTCCTGGCTGCTTTTCTATCAGGGTGTTAAGAGGAAGAAGTGGGCATTATCCCTCCTAATTACCTCACAAGCCAGATTCTGAATTGCTAAATCTGACCCATTAAGGCAGAGGAGTTCAAGAGCCACAGCACTGGGCTGGCTCCCAGACCAGCAGATGCAGGTTGAATGACTCTCCATGAGGAATTCAGAGGTATTTGGGGTCCCAAACCCATCCACCTGATGGAAAAGAGGAGTGAGATCTGCATCGAACTAAACACAAAGCAGTGAAGTCTGTGTTGTTCTTCATGTCCAAGCACTGCAGCAGCCCTCAGTAACTGCCGGGATATTTAAAGCACAGGGTGAAGGGAGGAAGGACTCTGACCTTCGCTTCCAAATACGTGTTTTATCGATCACAGCCCAGCCCTACGATCCTTTGTCAGCTTCAGTGCTTTATGCCAGACAAAGTTGCCCAGCTCCCCCCAGACTGCAGTCTGCACCACCAGGCAGCTCACATCAACAAGGCAGGCATTTGCAGGCTGCCTGCATCCAGCTTTTCTCCCAACTTTGCTTCCGCAGGGAGCAGCCACAGTGGGATGTGCAGAGCCGGAGTGGACAGACAGCTCATCCACCAAAGCCTGGCTGGATCCCTTCCAAGGACCACGACAGACAGAAGGGAAACAGCACGAGGGGAAAGAAGCCAGGAAAGGGGGTGAGATGTGAGCATGGATGTTGAAAGAGAGACCCACCCAGAAGAAGAGATGGGCACAGGTAGCGCTCATCTGCGAGGAACAGAACATGGAGCAGTGCCCCAAATGACCATGAAGAAACAAAGACCTGGAATATGTTCTCTCTGTACAGTGTTTGCCTTCAAAGCATATCTGGAAACTAAACCCAAGGAGGAGTGGAGAACTTGCTTTGTTTTTGGGCAGAGGAACAACAATGTCAGCACAGGGACAGTGTGAATCTGCACCGGTGCAAGCCAGCAGAGCTAAAGGCTAAGAAAAACACTCCCTTTATAGCCTGGCTCATCCTGGCAGCCACCCCCTCCCTGCCACACTCCACTGCAGCAGCAAGAGTTTCGCCCTCGTGATGGCTCCGACAGTGGCTTCTCCCCACGGCGACAGAGAGAGCTCGCTCTCAAATCCAGTCAGGATCCAGCAGGCAGCAGACTCGGGGGATTAACCCCATGGAGATGGGCAAGGACAGGATGGGCTGGGGACAAGAAGCCTTTGCTCTCACAGCAGCCTCAGGGGTAAGAGGCAGTTTAAAGGAAGCTCTGAGCGGAAGGAGAAGGAGCTTAAAGGTTTCAGATGTTTGGGTAGGGTGGAGGCGAGATAGGAAATATGGGACCTACAACCCGAGCCTGGTGCCAACATCAGCAGTTGATGCTCCCTCAAGAAGGCACTTCTCTGTTAGACCTCAGCTGTACAGAGATACCAGCTAATGGGCTCCTGTAAAACCTTCCTGCCTCACAAGAAGGTGGGACAAAGATTAAAGTCTGGATTGGGAACCAAGGGGTGGAGTTTGAAAGCAGCACTCAGGTGGGGCAGAAAATCGAGTGTTGGGAAGGGACAATGGCAGCAGAGGGAGAAGGAGGAAGCAAAACAGTGCAGACAGCACAAGGTATAAAGCTGGGGACAGTGAAGAGGCACAGTAAATGAAACAAGGAAGGGACAGACCTAAAGAAGCTTTCCAGGCTCCTGCTTTTATTCTTTTAAGAGAGAGTCATTAAGGAAGTGACTGACAGTGTGCTCCCAAGCAAGGGCCATCCAGAACCGCTTTACTTTCTGTGTCAGGGCATGACAGCACAGCAGTTTTCCACTCCAGCTAGCCAGAGTGGTCAGCAGGCATTAGTCTCTGTCAGGAAACCAGTGCCGACCATATATTAGAACTAAATCCTACCATTCAGGAGCACGTGAAATGAATTGCCAGGCCCAAAATCCCCATCTTGCAGGCAAAGAGAAGTGCTTCCACTTGCTTATTAATGGGGAAGATTGAGGTTGTCTGAGTAGTAGGGTTTGGGGTGCAGAGGCTGGTTTTAAGAAGCTGCAAAAGTGGCACATCACGGGCACAGTACGGTCAGAGTAAAAGGAAACTGCCTCTAAGTAACAGAAAACTGCCTGCAACAGATTCCTAATGAATATGGAAAACAAAAGCATGGAAGTGAACCATGTGAGGGAGGAGCGCTCTTTGCTGGTTGCAGGATAACACTGGCTGGGAGAGCCAAGCACTGCTGCAGCAATAGATGTGCAACCACCGTGCTTCACACCTCCTCATCAACAAGTAGTAAGGGCTTTTCTTAAGTAACAAATGCCTTTTCTCACCCACTTGAAGCAGAACCTTCCTACCTGCTCCCCACAAGCTTTCCCTCTGCAGTCTCCAAGTCACGGCTTGAATCAGAGAAGGCTCCAAGCCCTGTTATGTCGGCAGTGACTAAAAGCCAAACCATGCTTTTGCCCTGTAGCTCTTTTCCCCCCACCTCCAGCTGGGCATTGCCAGAATTCCTCACCATTCCCCCTCTCCCAAAGTGCTTACGCTGATCCCTGGGAGCTGAGCTCACCACTCCTACATTCCTACCCATCTTCCAGCCACAACTGGCACTTTGTTTCCAGGATTCACCATGCTTTGGCTCCCCATTACCCTTCCTATCAACTCCTGGGCTTTACCATCACACACACCTTGTATTTCTCCAAGGAAAAGAGAATCACCACAGAGTCATGGAATGGTTTGCGTTGGAAGGGACCTTAAAACTCGTACAGTTCCTGCTCCTACAGGCCCTTATCCAAAGCCCCTCTCCAGGTTTCCTGCAGCCCCTTTAGGCACTGGAGCTGCTGCTCTAAGGTCTCCCCTTAAAGAGCCTTCTCTTCTCCAGGCTGCCTTTCCAAATCCAGCACTTGGAGCAAGGCACGAGGCAAACTCAAGCTCTGTCAACTGCAAGCAGCAGCTCAGAGCAAATACTCCTTACCAAGCAGTTTGGAGCAGAGCAGCAAACAGCAGTGCACAGCAAGAGAGGAACCAGCCTTTATTTCGTGTGTAAGCAGCACAGTCACCACGGTGGTGCAGAGGAGAAAGCAGGCAGCACTACAAGGTGAGATGTGTATGTGATGCACACAAAGAGCTGTAAATAAGAGCCGAGTTGGAGGGAGAGACCTGGCAAGGGTCTTCTCACTGGTAGTAGACCAGCATAGCATTACTGGGAGTCACCTGGGTAATGCCCCACTCAATGCGACACACCGCCTCTTAGATCAGGGACCATCTGCAATGAAGCTGAACCCCAGCAGTGCTATCATCTGTCATCGTGTCTGGTGCAGCACAAAGCACCTAAGGAGGACATTCTGGAGGGAGATGGGAATTAAGCTTGATCAGGGTAACCAATCCCCATGCCCTCAGCAGGGCTTACCAACCCCTCTGCCTGGCCGCAAACAAGCAGCATAGTGAAGGAGCCCAAGCCCTCAGCTTGGAGAGCTGCCTTTTGGAGTCCCCATTAGGGGACGAGACACAGCAGCAGGTTTGGGAATGAGGGAGAAAGGAGATAATCAGATCTGAAATTCCCATCAGGATGAAGTAAGAGTGAACTCCGTCGCTTGCCAACGCAGCCCGACTGTTCTTTCTAATGTCTGTGACAACTCCGCTTCAAATTCCAAGCTTCTCTCAGCAGTGACTACTCCCCCATGTAGCTGTAATGGCCAGAAAGAGACTGGCTTTTATGTAACCCCAAAAGACTAGCAGGAAGGGAAGCAGCAGCCACACACACACACACACACACACACGGAGAACTGAGGGGAAGGCTCTGCTGAG